TCCCTTCAACTCGCCTCTTCAAACGAAATGAAAGGTACAACATAAAGTAAGGCCAACATAACAAAGCCTATGGAGGCGTCATACCTACCTAGATTCATAACTAGATCATCCACGAATTTCGTAAAAAAACTGGTACATATAATAAATAAGCTAAAAAAACATAATGGAAATATAGCTATGAAAATTGTCCGGCTAGCTTGCATGACTGCTAATAATTATAATCAAAAGCATTTCTAAAAAAGCAAAAAATCAAACAAAGCTAAAAATTCTATTAAGCAAAGATCAAAAGGTAGGATGAGCTGAAGGCAAATAAAAAATTACTCGATTCCCTTAAGATAAGTTCCAACCAAGTGTAAATTACAGTCTACATTCTGTGCCGGAACTTAACGTTTATTTAACATAATTGTCCAAATTATAAAACCAGCAATAAATAAATTTGTACAAATATCTGTATTTACTAATCGGTTACCCGCCCAAAAATATAAAACCGTATTACGAAATCAAATTAGAGTAGGAACTCACCTTGATACACTTAAGAAGAAGCCTTGTCCGGGTGTAGGACTTTCCTGAAACAATTCCTATGTTTGTCACCTCAAAACCCGGAAATCCGGTAACTCCTTTTTGAGGACAGCCAAAGCTCAACTGCTGGTTCTCATGGAGTGGCCAATACTGGTAGCATTTGTGTCGCTGAGCCTCAAATACCCTAAGGAAAGGAACACATTTGAAAGTATTAGATAAAATAATGCAAATTAAAATATCATAAAAGGGGAATGGAAGGTGAAAGGAACAAAGATGGGAATAATGTATAAGATGGACTTGCTACATTGTAAAGTAATAAAATTCAAGAAAGTTATACAAAGAATCCTATAAAAAAGAAAAGAAAGAAAATTATTGGTTAATAAAAAGGCCCTGCTTGGCTTTAAATTAGACCATAAGGTGTTTCCAAACTATTTAAATGACTCAGCATTAAGGCAGTACTTGTGATGTTTACAAGTTACTAGTGCATTGGCCTATCACTTTATGCAAAAAGAGTAGATTAAACGATAACAGCTGAGGTTTAGAATAGAAGTCAAATAAGGCCCAATTATGACAAATATTGCAATATTTTATGTTTTCTACGATATTATATAATAAGAACGGTGACAAAAGCAGCTAGAAAAGCATGCTTTGTTGAAGATAAAGGCATTTTATGAAATGATTGTGTGAAATAAATTAAAACTCTCAGAGGTTGACTAGAAATATAATAAATGCTAAATCTAATGAATAGGTTCAAGTATGCTACAAGGTCG